CCGCGAGCTGAGTCTGGAACGGAGGGACTCGGAACACTCCCTAAGATGCAGAGTTAGGGTTGTAGTCACATAGTAGCACTGTGTTAGAAAATTAGAGTTCATCAGGAAAGTCAATAATGTACAGCTATGCTTCTGCTACTAATCATGTTGTTTTGCGAGCCATGGTCCTAGCTGTATGTACTGAAATAAGTCAATGTATAATGTTCGATCTTCAAGTAATTCATTGACTGTGATTTTCTCAAAGTATGACTGAAATAAGTCAATGTATAATGTATAATGAATAATGCTCTTACTATATAGTAATGTTGAAAGACGACGAAATGCTCTTACTATATGATGAAAGAATTCATTGACTGTGATTTTCTCCAAGTACGTCAAGTCGGTTGTTCCCGTAAAACAGAGGTTGCCTAATTAAATGTTCTCCTCTGCTCTGCTGCTTACTTGAGTTGTGAATATTCTAGTGTACTGACCGACTCTGGAGAAAAAGTGTAAGATTTTTTATGGGATGAAGCTGTGGTACAAAACAATGTGTGCAGTCAGGTGTGTACCCCTGAAGCCAAGATTACCAAGGAGTGTGTCCTGTTGGAAATTAAGAGGCCAACCATGGTGAAGGAGTCTGTCCGAAGAGAATATAAGCTTGAACGGAGCTGATAAGATTCGGCAAACCACTCATCTATATCTCGTCCAAGAAAATCGGAAACCAACGCACACATCCATCCGTCAGTAGATTCATCCATCACGTAGCACACATCCATCCATCATTCATCCACGCACACAGCAAGGAGAAACCCGTAGGCCATCGTGAGATTGCATCTCACGGAGGCGCTCGGCTGCAACGGAGTCCCACATCCATCACAGCAAGGAGGAGAAGAAGAAAGAAGGTCAAGCCCGCTCAAGGCTCACGAGGCGACACGCCGACGGACTGGACAACCAGGCCATGGATATGAAGCTTGTCTTTCCTACTAGTAAGGCCCTCGTTTAGCTAACCTCCCTGCTTTTTATTTTCTCTCGCGCAGTTAGCATGCATCAAGCACAAAACCGTTTCGTTGGCCAAGGGAGCCTCTGATTCGATATGACTCGATCGGGAGCAGCCGGAGCTGTCCAACGACGAAGCCCAGGTGCTAGCAACCCGCGGGAATAATTAACCGGGAGCACATGTCCGTAGTGTCGCCGGTGCACATGTCACACTTTCATGCAGCATCAGCCCAAGGCGACGCGGCCTCCACGACGCCACCTTCCACGGCCCCGTGAGGCGGCACGTTTGCCTTGGCGGACCGTCAAATACTTGGCGTCTAGCCGAGACGAGGTGCCAACCACCTCGGCCACGCCAATGTGAGCGCGCGTCAGTCTTTTTATACTGACGCCGGTCTCTCCAAACTATTACTCCCGCAAAGCGTAGCCCCTTGAACACCCCGATGAAGTAACCGGTCGTCGAGAAGTCTAAGATGTACTCCAATGCCGCCAAGACCGACAAGGCACGACGGCGAGGGCGGGCGTGGCCACCGCAAAGGCCACGCTACTTGCGGCGCGTGTACCGACGAGGACACGGACTTTGTCGCCGCCCACACACACCACTGTCATCATGCATGGAGAACGTGAAGCGAAGACGACCACACGGCTTAATCGGAGGTATCCCGCGAAGCAACCCACGGGAGTAATTAACCGGGAGCTTTCCGAGGCCCCAAGAACCAGGAGACCGCAATCGCCACAGTCAGGCTGGCCGCGCTAGTAGGCCACGGAGCGCACTTTTTGTTTACTGGATCTTATAATTTTGTTTCTCCAATGAGATTAATGAAATACTCGTTTCCCGTATCCTTTTTGTGTGCTACGGTACACTGGCGCACCCGCATTTTGTTCTTTTCTTCTTTCCCGGCGCAAGAGAGAAAAACACTCCCCTTCCCCCTCGCGGAGTCCTTAGATATTTTTCCCATGTCAAACACTATAGTAGTCATATATATATGTTAGATCGATTGGGATTATAATTATTAGCGATCAAATTAGTGTACTTTTTCTGCCAAGATATTTCGGTGTTGAATTTTTATCTCTTTTAGTTGTGGAGTTTTTGGTTATGTCTGCAATTCTTATTATATTATACGCAGTTCATTGTTCTCAACTTCTTCGCGTTCCCTGACTAATACAAAATATGTCGGCCAAAAAACCCTTCCCTATGCATGCATATACTACATCAGAAGTGAGGACGGTGGATATTAGGCTGCCCGCAATGACAGTATCATAACTAGTAGCATGCATATAAAGGCCCTGTTTAGGATAAAGGAATTTTACAGGGAATCATACATATTTCGTTTCTCGTGAAAAAGGAAAGAGGGGTACACTTTCATTAGCGAAGGCAAACTTTCCATCTATTTCACGGAAAACGAAACATCCGCCTAGACCTAAGGGAAAGGCATGTGAAACATAGTCGCCGCTCCCCTCTCTCTCTCTCTCTCTCTCTCTCTCTCTCTCATCTCCAGCCCTCCAGAACCAATGGACCGCCCTCGGCTGGTGAATCCACCCTCCTCCGCCTCCCCATCTCCGCCCTCAAGCCCCTTCATTGATACAAGGGTTTGATGAACAGAAATTTGGGAAAGTCAAGAAATCTCCCCAGAAGGTAAGCTTCCAAACCTTATTGATTTCTTCTCGTAAAATTACTAGTCCTTGTTGATTTCTACTCCTAGAAATTACTTCTACTTCAGATTTGTAGGAATATAAAAAAACGAAAAATGGGCCACAGATTGAGAATGTTTAGATGCGTATAAGCAAATATAGATTAATTATTCCGTGTTTAAGTTGTTACACAGAAAGAAGTACTTCTACTTCTTCATGGTTCATGTACGACATATGGATGCGAGATTATTTAACGTGGTCCCTCTTAGCTACTCTTTTCCCATGAGAGGTAAAAGTGTATAAAATATCTAAGCCGTTGATTTCATTAAATAGTGGGAATAGCTCTTATCATCTTACCTCTTAGGCTTTGTACAATGGAAGGTGCTTAGAAAAATAAACCGGGTTTTTCTGAAGCATCGGTGCCTATTTCTACAGGAGAGACGCTTAGTTAAGCGTCTATCCTGTACAAATAAGCATCGGTGCTTAAAAAAAGTCTGGTTTATTTCTCTAAGCACCTCCCATTATATAAGGTCTAATGTGAAAAGAGGGGCTAAGAGGGACCATGTTAAAATTGCTGGACATATGCTAGCAGGAAGTGATGCTGCTCTGTTAGGTGAGTGCATGGGTAGCTAAACAATGTATCTGTACAATGCTTGACTAAACATATACGATGGTTTTGCATTTGTTACTACTGCCTGCTATGGAAAATGGCCTGGACTTCCTGCTAGCATGTACTACTACTACTACAGCATATCCATTTTTTCAACTTTTTTCTTCTTCTTGTATTTGTGTTCCCACTTTTTTTTTTGTTTCGCGAAGAGTATTTGTGTTCACAGTATCAATCCAAGGCGCTGCTAATTGTGTAAGTATGCGTCCTGTGTATACGCTCGATTGGGGCCGGAAGGAATCAGCCGCCTCTTGCTTGTGCGAGCACACCGTTGGAAAGTAGTCGACGGCTGCGTCGTCAAGGTCAAGATATAACTATATTTAAAAACCTATATCCTGGTCGACTCTCCATTTGGGTGGTATCATGTTAGTTTCACCAAGCGGATGGATATAGGTAACGGCTGTACCTACTTTGTCTTTTGGGGTGGCATATATGTTTAGCTTTATCTTTATTGACGACAAGATTGTTGGCCCAGTCCCGACGCCGAGTACTTTTCGGCAACGGTGATACGAACTATGACGAAGCGAAGCGACACTGACTGACTTGGTTCCTGCCCTAAGCTGGCTCGATCCGTCCCGATCGATCAAAGCTAGCACAGCTAGCTACTTAGCCCGGCGAGTTGCACACGTACACAAATCTCCTACACAAGCACGCACGTATACAATAGCTGAATCAATCGCTGGATTGAATCACGCCCGAAACTAAACACACACGTACGCACACGTGAAGATTGGCTGATTGCCAAAGGCTCGTATCGAGCCTTGTATGTATTGATTCAGCTCACGGTTTTAGAAAGTTTACAGGGGTAGTCAAGTATATATACTAGTAGCTAACCTATGTCTACCAGCAATTCTACTCGGTAATGACTTTGAAGCCAACACGGACTCGTGTAACGTACACGGAGCCGGACACGTTGCATACTATTCATGTTTAACTCCAAAAAAGACTAAGCTTCGAAGCTTGTGAGTTGTGATGTGGCTGCCACCCAAATGGAGAGTTGTGTTGTGTGTGTGGCTCCACCCCAACCTTACATTTACTCCAATCCACGGAATTAAGGAGAGGCTTCAGGCTCAAAACAATATGCGGAAGAATTAATTTTCCTAGCCATAACGACAAATCAAAATTTAGCATTGACCGCGAGTGAGGCCGTGCAGGTGTGAACGGAACACGTGGCGCTATTTGCTTCAGTGGATGCCACCTAGCAAGCAGAGGACCAACTAAGTTTGTGTGTTCCGCTTCCACGATTAATTTTCTTGTAGCCAATTGAAATGTATTGTCGCAATGTTTATACACTGATACGCTTTATGCGCCATACTTAGACCATAAATCGTTTTTATAGTCTTGAATATCCAATTGTTCTAGCAGTTGGATCTTTGGAAGACAAAACTCATAACTAATTGTATTCCCTTTTTGGGACGGTAACTTGTCCACGTGGGCATGCGATTGCTCTTGTCTTATATAGGTCACCTTCTCAAAGAGTTGGAAACCATTGTAGGATGTTTTTTTTGGATTCACGTGCCTTATCTGCTCAAAGAGTTGCCAGCCATTGCAGGGTTTTTGAAGTCACAGGGCTTGTCCTCTCGGATCTTGTACTGGTGGAGCTTGCACTTTGTACATCCATATTGTGAGCTGAAATTTCACTGGAATAAGAGATAAGTGAGTAGATCAAGTCAGTGCTAAATAATACTTTCAAAGAAAAACAACAAAACAATAATATGAGAGAAATATCTCACACTAGTTCACCGAAGTTTTGCTTTGGTGGCATGTCCAGCTCATCTAAGTTTCTCTCGAACATTTCAAGAACTCTTGTTATAGTAGGGCGATATATAGGTAATACTTGTATGCACCACAATCCCACTAAGGTCATTTTTCTTGCTACCTCCGCAGTTTCACTTGTTATATCACATGCTTGCAAACCTTCGTCCTGAGCAAAATGGTCATAAATCCAATCTGGGAAATACTTTTCACTAGACTTTGCAACAAATGATTTTACGTTTCTCCTTCCTCCGACCATCTCCAACAGCATCATTCCATAACTATAAACATCTGACTTGGTTGAAACCACTCCGAAGGTTCGAGAGTGAACTTCTGGAGCGATGAATCCAATTGTTCCTCTAGCACCGGTCATTGCAACATTGCTTTCTTTTGTATGACACAATTTAGCTAGACCAAAATCAGCAATTTTGGGGCTAAAATCCTTGTCTAGAAGGATATTTTGTGGCTTGATGTCGAAATGTATGATGCGTGTATTACAACTATGGTGCAAGTATTCGAGGCCACGAGCAATCCCGATTGCTATTGCATAGAGCTTATCCCATCCTAAAATTTCCTTGGGGTCCTCTGAGTAAATGAACTTATCCAAGGAATTGTTGGACATGTACTCATATATAAGAGCTCGTTTTGATCCCTCCAAACAGAACCCAAACAAGCTAACAACATTAACATGAGAAGTCCTGCCAATGCTCATAACCTCATTCACAAACTCGCCCCCGTTTCCTTTGCATTCATGCAAGAATTTCACTGGTACTAGACGGCCATCAAGTAGGGTTCCTTTGAAAACCACACCATAACCACCTTTTCCAAGCTCATTGCTGCGAGAGGATGTTATCTTCATTACGTCTGAGTATGTGTATCGTTTTGGAGCTAGGGATCCATACGATGCAATCATGGCCTCGTAATTATTTTCATTGTTTCCACTAGTCTTCTTGCAAAGGAGAAACCATAGTCTTCTTCCTTTTCTATGACATATCAGCACATAAATACACGAGAATAGCAAGGTCGCAGCTGATGATGTCAAAACTGAGAAGAAAGCATATGTTAGTTCCTTTTGTAAACTAGAGGCTATAGTATAGTAATTAAGTTTCCAAGATCATCAGTAGTTTAAATTTCTGTTTATGCGACGTTGTGTGGTGGCAAAAGTATTAACAAGCTAAATTCCATAAATTCTTGCATTAGGGCATTTCTAAGTCTGACCTCTAAATCGGACACCGTATCTGTCCGCGGAACGGTGGGGACTAGTCCATGGAGAGTGACACGGGAGCCATCCAACCCTTAATCACAAAAATCCCCGTTTGTCCGGCTCGGAGGAGAGAGGAGAGGAGGGATTGTGCATGTGCTTGCTTTTAGTGAATATGTGTGTGTGGTGTTGGGAGGAGAGAGGGGAGAGAGAGAAAAAGAGAGGACCACATAGCCCCCCCCCCCCAACCACACATACACACAGTTATAGACGTCTGGACCGCTCCATGGACCAAGTGGTCCTCATTGGTTGACAAAATTTGACTGGAAATTATAATCTAGACATATACCAGAGCTTTGAGGGTCTTCTTTGGAGATGCCCTTATGCACAGACCGAGAGCCGCTTGTCTCAACTTTGCAGGTGGCTGCTTTTGGTGAATATGTGTGTGTGGTGTCCGGTTGAAAGGAGAGAGGGGAAAGGGAGAGAGAGAAAAGAGAGGAGGACCACGTTCCAAGCCGAAGAAGGGTCAGGTGTGACAGGGGCTGTCTTGAGAGATGAGAAGGGGCGCTTTTAGCAGCACAATGCAAATTTATTCAGAACGCAGAGGATGTGATGACAGTGGAAGCAATGGCTATGCGTGACGGTCTAGTTTTGGCAAATGTTATTGGCTTTAGTAGGATTGAAGCAGAGTCTGATTCTCTCGCCGTGGTGAATTATTGCCAAGGACGGAACCAATGGTGGGATCTAGCAGCGGCGATTTTTGCAGAATGCATGGATTTTGGCAACGTTAGTAGGAAAGGTCATCTTCAAGCATTGTTTTCGTGATGCAAATTCTGTAGCACATGAGCTAGCTAATTTCAGTTTTCGTAATAAGTGTGATGATGGTTGGACTAATGAGCCTCCTGGGTTCTTAATTTGCCAACTAGTAAACAATGTAACTGTTTTTTAAGTTAATAAAGGTAGACATGATGGCCTTTCCTCCAAAAAGGAAAAGAGAGGAGGACCACGTGGTTGTTTTTTGTTGGTAAAGTGGATGTC